TTGGCCTTTGGAAAGGTTAATTGTGTTCTTTTTATATGCAAATTTCATTGGCAGCTGTATAACTGCTCTGTATATCATTCTTTTTCCTTTGGGTGGTCAGGCAATGTGCAGAGATAGTCGTGTGGTACCTGGAGCTGCAGCTACTGAAATTGAGTTGGCTAGGAGATTGAAAGAGTTTTCTTTTAAAGAAATAGGGTAATACTTGCACGGCATTATTTATTTTATATGTTTTCCTTGATAAGTACCAAATCTGCATGGCCACCATGTCATCTAGACAAAGGCAGACCATTTTATCTTATGCATTTTGAAGCACTTATTTCATTTATAGTTCACATATTCTGAAATGTTAGTTCTTGCTGTTAACTGTATGAAGATAGTTTTCCCCTTGGGGACAATTGGAATTAGGAAGGTTGGTTATTACCAAGAACCCTGGCAGAGAATGTTGGGCTGAATGCTATGGATATCATATCAAAGCTGTATGAACAACATGCATCTGGAAATGCCAAAGTGGGTGTTGATTTGGAGGCTGGTGAGACAGGCGAAGATGTTTGTAAGGATGTATCAGCCATGAATATTTGGGATCTCTATGTCAATAAGTAAGCTTCTTTTGATACCAAATCTTTTCCTGTAATCTCATGAATTCTAATTCTTTCTCTCTTGGAAATAAACTGATATTTTCTTGAGTGTGGATATGATGCTTATACAGTGGGATCACGCTTCTTATTTCATGTAAATGAGGCCATCATAGATGCCAAAGATAGTAATTACATTTGTGTGAAGTGTTATGATAAATTGTTAGATCTGGTTATTGTTTAGAGAAATTTGAACTTTACTAATTCTTCAACTCTTTTTAACTTTTTTCCTTTTTTGAAAAGATTCTTTTGTCCTGTTTTGGACTGTGAGTTGTGGTAGTGGGTTTCATATGTTGAGCGATATGGGATGCCATAGGTGAGCCTCACAGTGCCTTCAGAGAGTTTTGCTTGCACTGATTTTCTAATATTGGATGATGCTCTTCTTTGACTGATAGGGGATTACTTAACTGCATCTTGCAATGACTGGATATTGAAATTTCAGTGGTGCAAATAAGGCTAGAAATGGATCAACCCACCCCCCCTTTTTTTTGGGGTGGGGGTGAACTTTTTTCAATCAATTTGTGTCCGGCAACCTCTCACCTTTCTAGGTACTAGGCAAATTGATCAGTTTTGTGGTAGCCCTTTACAATGACTGAATCAGTTTTGTCATGATTATGAAAGCGCACCACACCATAATGGTCATGGCTACTATAATCAGAAAAGTCATTCTAGTAACAATGGTCAACAGAAAGGTTAAAATCATGTCAATGTTTTACTTACAGCAATCTCTGGAGTTCTAAACTCTGATGAACTAAAGTGTGACCACTGCATATATAGGCATTGAAATTTTGTTCAAAATAATTTATTTGTCTTTTCCTACAGGTTTTTTGCTCTTAAATATGCTGTAGATGCTGCTTGCACTGTCTTACGAGTAGACCAGGTAATTCAGCAGAAAGAAGCCTAATGACAACATAGCAATTACAATCTGTTAAATTTAGATTCAAACAATTTTTTTGAAAATCTTTTAACGTGAGTTAGATGATGATTTCTGGTGTTCAAAATGCAGACTATAATGGCAAAACCAGCTGGTGGTCTGACAAGAGAGCAACCTGCAGGAATGGATGAGGACTAGCCTCTGCACTGAAATTGATCAATTATCTCCATGTTGTATCGCACTGAGCTGGTTTAGGCATCTCTCTTTTTAGGCATCTCGTGTTTTCTTTTGGATGCCAAAAAACTTTGGCTTGGAAAATTTTGTTTCATATTTTAAAAAGAAAAATGGTGTTGTACTTTGTTCTACTTAAATCTCTTCATTGGCTGTAATCCTCAACTGAAAATCAGATGAATTAATTACTCATTGTCTCTGAGCAGCAGGCAGTTGGTCTGTTCATTTTAGGAATCCGATTTAAGAACTAGCTTATTCTTTTTTGTGGTTTCTCAAGAACATCTTTGTTGAACTTGAAAAGAAATGAGGAAAAGAAGAATGTAACAATTCTGAGTATATATACGGGGTGATTTTTTTTGGGTTTGGCTGAAAGTGTTAAGCAGGGAAAATGAGAGATTTCCTTTTCAACCCAAACTACAGAGATGGAGAAAGTGCAAATATGAAGACAAAATGCAAACCCAAAGAAAAGAGGCAAGGGATAAGTGCATGTACAACGCGGTTACATGAGCTTTGCCCCATTATCCTGGTGCTCAGTCACTTCATACAAGCCTGAAGTATCCTGGAAAGAAGATGGATACAAGGAGGTTCTTTGCACAGTTCCCGCTGGTGGAACAGATTCAACCGAGACAAAAGGTCGGTTTGATTTACAGAAAATGTTTTCATTTCTGAAAATAATTTTCATGAAAAATTTTTTCTTTTCTAAAAATTATTTTTTAACGTTTAGAACACTCAAGAAAACTTTTTAAAAGAGTGTTTTCTATTGTTTGGTTAGTCAACGAAAATCTTTAAAATTTTTTCAAGATTAATTAATTAAAGACTATAAATTGAAGCTAATAATCGGATCACTACTCATTAAATATCTGAATTTAAGGCTTAAAGTGAGTTTGTCTTGATTTATTAACAATAGTTATTAATTATTAATTTTAATTTTAGATATTTTAAATTATAAATATTAATAAA